AGGAGGCTGAGGCAGAAGAATTGCCTGAACCCAGGAGGCGGAGGTTGCGGTGAGCCGAGATCGCGCCATTGCACTCCAGCCTGGGTAACATGAGTGAAACTCCGTCTCAAAAAAAAAAAAAAAAGAAATATCTAGGATTAGTGGTTGCCAGGGCTTAGGGTGAGAGAGGAGTGGACAGTGACTGCTAATGGATAGGTATTTCTTTGTGGAGTGACGAAAATGTAAATTGGCCGGGCACGGTGACTCGCGCCTGTAATCCCAACACTTTGGGAGGCCAAGGTGGGCGGATCACCTGAGGTCAGGAGTTCTAGATTGGCCTGGCCAACATGGAGAAACCCCATCTCTTAAAAAAATAAATAAAAGAAAATGTTGTTGTAAGGTAGGTAGTGGCCATAAATGCACAACTTTGTGAATATACTAAAAACACTAAATTTTATACTTTAAACAGGTGAGTTTTAAAGTATGTAAATCATATCTCAGTTTAAAAAACTTTCGTTGAGAGTTTGCCCTCTAGAGGCTCTGGAACTCTGGGTACTCCGGCCCCGCCCCTTCATTTGTCTTTTTGGCTGGAGGCGTGGAGCGGCTGGTCCCGCCCATGAGAATGGCTCCGCCCTCCTTCCCAGCCTGCCCCGCCCCTCTCGCGGGCGCCGATTTGCGCTTGCGCAGCGAGGCTGGGTTTACGTAGGCGCGCAGCACAGTACCGCCCCGCCGAAGTCCCTAGGGTGGAGGCCGCCTGAGGCCGCCAGGGAGTAGGTTGGCTGCCGGCGCCTGACGCCTTTCCGCCTCCAGCAGCGCCGGGGACAGGGTTTTTTTTTGCTAAGCCCCACGTGGGGGTGGGGGAAGGGAGGGATCTCCAGGCGTCACGCGAGAGGGGCCTCCCGATCGTCCCTGCCAAACCATCCGCCTGCCTGTGGGGCCGCGCGCGGCCCCCCTGGGTGTCTCCTGGCTCACGGGCTTCCTTCCACTTCCCCTTCCCGGGGCTCACGGAAGCAGCCGCAGCCTAGCGGCGCAGGCAAGCTCTTTCCGTCAAGGGCCGCACGGGAAGTATTTTCTGCTTTGCAGGCTATCGGGTCTCAGAAACAATCGGTCCTGCTGTTGTGGCAGGAAAGCGGACACAGGCAATCATAACGAACGAGCGCGGCTGAGTGCCAGCAGAGCTATTTGTGGACACCGAAATTTGAATCCCTGTAATTTTTACATATTATGAAATAGTTTTTCTTTTTTTTTCTAGTGCCTTCAAATACAAAAACCATTCTTAGTGTGCTGTATGTAACACAAACCAGGCAGTATAGTTTGCCGAATCCTGCCTTTGAGGCAGGTTTGGGAAGGGGGCCCCTTAACGCTTCCTAAGTGGTCTGAAGTACCCCCAGGAAAGGTTCCACAGACACAAAGCTGAGAACATTGCTGTGATTTGAGGATTGGGTTCTCTACATCCACCATCCTCCTCTATCCAACTTGCAGAGAAAGGACACTCACCAACTGAGGACCACGCTAGTTCATCTGTTTTTTGTTTTTGAGACAGTGTCTCACTCTGTTGCCTAGAGTAGATTGCAGTGGTGCCATCTCGGCCTCCTCGGCACAAGCGATCCTCCCATCTCAGCCTCCCAAGTAACTGGGACTACAGGCGTGCACCACTACACCGGCTAATTTTTGTATTTTTTGTAGAGATGGGGTTTCACCATGTTGCCCAGGCTGGTCTTGAACTGCTGGGCTTGAGCAATCCTCCCACCTCAGCCTCTCAAAGTGCTGGGATTACCAGGCGTGAGCCACTGCACCTGGCCCCTAGTTCATCTTTGCAAACTATTTTATAATGTCATTTAATTTTATTTCAATTAGCTTTGTAGGGCAACCTTTTTTTTTTTTTTTTTTGAGACAGGGTCTCATGCTATTGCCTAGGCTGGAGTGCAGTTGGCACCAATCACTTCTCACTGCAGCCCCAACCTTCCAGACTTGAGGGATCCTCCTACCTCAGCACCACACCCCTGCCCCAGCAGCTAGGACTACAGGTGCACACTACCATGCCTGGCTATGTTGCCCAGGCTGGTCTCAAACCTAATTCTTTTAAAATTTATTTTATTTTTAATGACTGTAAACAGAAAACCTGATGCTTTTGAATCAAAAGTCGGCCTTCTTGCAGCTTTCCATTTCTATCAGTAGTTGCAGCCTCTGTGACAAAGCTGGTTCAAAGAGCTGAGCCCTGAGCTCAACACAGGACTGGAAGACAGAATGCCTGTCGTCCCAGTGACTGCCAGAATCCCCTCCTCCCAGCTGACCTTGCTAAAGTGCAGATACTCAAGAGCAGGGGTGACACAGGTGTAACTGACATGTTATACTTGGCATTTGTGGGTTTGCAGAGTGAAGTGTGGGGTCAGGATTTAGGCCAGCACTGTTCAGTAGAAATATAACCTGAGCCACATGTGTAATTCTAAATTTTCTAGTAGCTACCTTTTAAAAAGCAAAACTAAGTGAAATTACTTTTAATATATTTTCTTTACGTCAACACATTCAAAATAGTATTTCAACATATAAGCCAGCCGGGCGCGGTGGCTCACGCCTGTAATCCCAGCACTTTGGGAGGCCGAGGCGGGTGGATCAC